TGAGCCCTCGTTGCATCCACGCCAACCTAGCTCATTGAGGGTCTTCTTTGCTGCTGACCTTTTACTTTACCAAGCATGGTGTCCTTCTGCAGGGACACCATGTCCTGGTCACATGTCCGAAGTACATGACTGAGACGAAGCCTCCCCATCCTTGCTTCTCAGTAGCATTCTGGCTGTACTTCTTTCAGGACACACTGGCTCCTTCCTTTGGCAGTCCACCACAACTCAAATGCATTAATTCTTCTGCAGTCCTCCTTTTCCACAGTCCAGCTCTCACAGGCATATGAGCTGACTGAAAATACCAAGGCTTGGGTCAGGCACACCTTAGTCCTCAGAGTGACATCTTTGCATTTGAATAAAGACACCTTTTGCAGCAGATTTGCCCAGTGCAATACATCATCTGATTTCTTGACTGCTGCTTCCATGAGTGTAGATTGTGGATCCAAGTAAAATGAAATCTTTGACTTCAATCTTTTCTCCATTTATCATGATGTTACTTATTGGTCTAGTTGTGAGGATGTTTGTTTTCTTCCTGTTGAGGGGTAATCCATACTGAAGGCTGTAGTCTTTGATTTTCATCAGTAAATGCTTTAAGTCCTTTTGGCTTTCAGCAAGCAAGGTTGTGTCATCTGCATGTGGTAGGTTGCTAATGAGTCTTCCTCTAATCCTGATACCGTGTTCTTCTTCATATACTCCAACTTCTCAGATTATTTCCTCAATATGCAGATTGATTAAATATGGTGAAAGGATACAACCCTGACATGCACTTGATTTTAAATTAAGCAGTATCCCCTTGTTCTGTTGGAACAGTTACCTCTTGGTCTATGTACACATGAGCACAATTAAGTGTTCTGGAATTCCCATTCTTCTCAATGTTATCCATAATTTGTTGTGATCCACACTATCAAATGTCTTTACATAGTCAATAAAACACAGGTAAACATCTTTCTGGTGTTCCCTGCTTTTAGCCAAGATCCTTCTGACATCATCAATAAAAATCAAGAACCAAACTCACTGCCATCGAGTTAATTCCAACTCATAGCAACCCCCTTTGGATTTCCAAGGCGGCAAATCTTTGTGGAAGTAGATTGCCCAGTCTTCCTTCTGTGGAATGACTGCTGGGTTTGAACCACCAAACATCTGGTTAGCAGTCACATGCCTTAGGCACTGCACCACTAGAACTCCTTGACATCAAAAAATATGCTTCATTCCACAACCTCTTCTGAATCCGACTTGAATTTCTAGCAGTTTCCTGTTGACGTACCGCTGCAACCATTTATTAACTGTCTTCTGCAAACTTTTACTTGCCTGCGATATTAACAATACTGTTTGATATTTTCTGCATTCTGTTGGATCACCTTTCTTCCAGTCCAAGTTTCTTGGCATAGATGAGTGAGCGCTTCCAGAGTTGCATCCGTTTGTCCCAACATCTCAATGGGTATTCTGTCCATTCCCAGAGGCTTTTTTTTTCCATTGCCAATGCAGTCAGTGCAGCTCGTACTTCTTCCTTCCTTACATGTTGCTGTAAAAAAAAAAAAAAAAAATTAGCATGTCTGCAAAAATACCTCCCAGGGGAGGAAGCAGTTGGTAAACAAACGTAGAAAGTGAGCGTTATTTGTGAAAAAATACAGGTAGGTGCCCCAGCTTTCCCACATCCTTAGGCAAACTACTTAATCCGTCTGTGCTTAGTTTCATCCTCTGTAAGATGGTTGCCACATCATAGGTATGTAATAAACACAGACCCATCCACAAATAAAACCCAAACAAGGCTACATCAAAATGCTAACCCTCTGGGTGGCACGATTACATGTTTTGACATTTTCCTTCATGCATTCAATTTCCAAATTTTCTAAAGGGATATGCATTAATTTTGTAACCTGGGTTATAGGTTGGGAAAGAATAAACTTTTACATTAAAAAGTCAACAAAGAGAACAAAATGTGGTATGCCTATCCAATAGGAGCTCTGGTGGTACAATGATTAAGCGCTTGACTGCTAACTGGAAGGTTGGCGGTTTGAACTCACCCAGCAGCTCCATGGCAGAGAGGCCTGGCTATCTGTGCCTGTGAAGTTCAAAGCCTAGAAAACCACATGGGGCAGCTCTACTCCGTCACATGGGGCGCTGAGTCAAAATTGACTGAATGGCACCCAACAGAACACCACCCACACAATGGAATACGATTGTCATAGAAATGAATGAAACGGTGACACATGCTATAACATGGAAGAGTCTGGAAAACATGTTGAGTGAAAGAAGCCAGACTTCAAAGGCCACATAGTTTCTGATTCCGTTTCCATGAAACGTCCAAAGCAGGTACGTGCTTAGATGTCGTCTTGTGGTTGCCAGAGACTGGGGACAAGGGTTGGGGAGTGATGGCTGATGAACACGTTCTGGACCTGATCATGGGGCTGGCTGCACTACCTTGTGACTTTTTACTAAAAGCCACTGAATTGTACACTTCAAATAGGATGAATTATATGGTAGGTGAATATGTGAATTGCATCTCAATAAAACTGTGAATTCTTCTTTAAAGCTAAGAAATAAATATGCTCAATAGTGATTATTTCTGCATAGCAGCTTCACAAATACACATTTCTTATATATAAACATATACTTAATTAAAAAAAAAAAAAAAAGCAAGCAGGGAGAAAGGCTCTGAATGACCACAGACTGGCCAAGAGTATGAGTCTGCAAAGCTCCACCAGCTCCGTTTGGAAAGTCAGATCCTTTTGCTTTTCCTAAGAGTAGAGGGTCAGCAAAACAGGAGAAGACCCTCAACAAGACAGGCTGACACAACAGCTACCGCGATGGGCTCAAGCAGAGAAAAGACTGAGGGCGCCTGTTGGACATGGGGTCGCAGAGTCAGAGCTGAATCCTTTAAAGGTACCTCACAAGTACCGAGTTTTCACTTTAGACACTATACACCCCACTTTCTAAAGGTGCCCCATCCAGTATAGAAGCCACTAGCTCCATGTGGCTACAAGAATTTCTCCATCATCACAGAAAGGTGTGCTGGGCGGTGCTACTGGAGGTCACAGGGAGGTCTAAGCTGTAAAGGGCCACACAGTCAATTTCCCAACTTTGGGGGCCAGATGCTTTCTGGGATTAGTCAACACTGCTGACTGTAGGATGAAAGCTGCCATAAACAGTATGTAGACAAATGGGCACGGCTCTGTGCCAATAAAACTTTATTTACAAAAACGGGCAGTGGGCTGATCCTTGCTCAAAACTGTGAAGGAAAAGCCTGACATCCCTATCTGTTGCAAACGGTTAAACATTCGGCTATTGCCGAGAGGCTGCAGGTTCAAGTCCACCCAAAGGCTTCTTGCAAGAAAGGCCTAGCGGTCCACTTCTCAACACTCAGCCCTCAAACACCCTGTGGAGCACACTTCTAATCTGACATACATGGGGATGCCACCAGTCGGAGTCAACTCCATTGCAACTGGTGCTTCTAACACGTTCTCAGCGGGTAGTCAGAACACCTTGGCTATGTTTTCTGTCACATACCACTTAGACCCTCTGAACTTCAGTGTTCTCATCTGTAAAATGGGAAGCAGGGATTTAATTTATGTGGAGGGAAATGAAATAATCCATACAAAAGTGCACAGTGATCTAAAGGTAGTCTGCAAAGAGAAGACACAAGCAAATATCTGTAAAAGACATTTATTTTGAGAACCTAAGATCTGGACAAAGAATGTTGAACATTTTAGAAAAAGCCTACACAGGAGTTTGTTGTCTTTTTCCCTAATACATTAACAACCTAATCACAAGGAATAAAAAACCCCACACAAAGGTCTTAAAACAGTATTGTCCTCCAGTTCGTCTGCAGTTAGATGATTTTAGAATATCCCTGTTCCACTGAGGTATGAGCTGCAAACTTTGGTCAAGTTAGAAAAATTAACAAACCATTTAAAAAAAATTAAAAATAGAAACAAAAAACACAACCCCCCAAAACCCTAAGTTATATTTTTCTTGGTACATATACAGTAACTACAAAAAATTTCATTTAGAAAAAGTATTTTTTTTTTTCCTTTTTAAATCCCTATCGTACTTCTCCATTGCCAAGTTGAAAATTCCATATAAAACAAAGATAAACTACAGCGGCCTCCATACCCTGCCAGCCTCAAGAACAACTGGTCGACCACAGTTTTAGAATCTGGTTGGCAATTTCAACATTTCAGTGCTAAAAAAGAGCCCAGTCTTGAAAAAGCAAAAAAAATTTAAAAAGACCCAAAGGCACTTGGACATGGCTTTGTGCGTTTGTCGGCTTGCGTGTGGCTCCGGCTCAGACGGCGTATGGCCGGTCACCCCTCCCAATGGCAAGGGGAGTCCCGCGGAGGTAGTTTCTGTAGCACCCCAACTCGGCTCACTGCGAGCCAAATCGTTAACACAGAAGCAAACTGGTGGAGGACGGCTTCTAGAGAAGGCGAGTTCACTAGGCCGCAGCCGCGTGTCTCTGTTCAGGGACGTGACACCCACAGCCGCCAGTTCTTGGTGGGCGGCTCGGCCCGCCCCGCCCAGGCCCACCGCCAGGAGCCACTGTGCAGGACTTCGTTCTCGACGCCGTCAGGAAGATGCACTCGGCCTGGGGGGCCGCGAGCCTGGAAAAGGTTGCTCGAGGTGGCCGAGCTGAGCCGCCTTCTTGCTCCGCGGGGTCAGCGGCAGCTTCGGACAACTTACTGCTGGGAACACAAGCAGCCTTCGTGGAAGTAGTTTGTAATTCCATCTTTAAAACAACAAAAGAAAACTTTTTTTTTTTTTTTTTTGGCTGAAAAATTTCAGACCTTCTATTTAAAATAAAACACAGAGAAGTCCAACTTTCTTTTTTTAGCCGTAACGCATTAATTCCTGAAAATTTATAGATTAAAAAAAAAGAGGAAGACAAGCCTTTTTAGGGGAGTGGAGAAACGGCATGTTTAAGTTAAGCCCACTGAAAACAGAAGGGCAGAAAAGCCGCCCCCGGGATGCGTGGGCGGGCCGCAGGGCGGAAGTGCTTGGCATCACCGGCCGTTGCCGTAGCCGGGGAAGAGCTGGTTGAGGACCGCTTGCAGGGGCTGGTTGACCTGCATGCTGTAGTTCCGGCCCAGGTCGTAGCGGCAGGCCGGGCAGCTGAACACCTGGGCCCGGAAGGACCTGTCCAGGCAATCCTACAAGAGAAAGCAGGCGGTGAAGTGCTGTCCACTCGGACCGGGCCACGGCTGTCCCCCAGCTCCACCTTCTTACAGGGCCCAGCGGCTCCCCTGCCTGTCCCCCATCTCCGGCCTGGTTGGGTGGGAGCCCTCAGACTCCACGCTCATTCTAGCTTTCCAGTCTTGGCACTTGCAGGCTCCTCCACTAGTCACCCCCTCAGAGGGGCCTTCCCTGACCACTCTGGCCTATCCAACCTGGCTGCAGCCCATCCTGTTGACCTTCAGACGGGCACCCTACACTCTGGAATCACCCATTGAGCACATGTTCACGTGTGGTAGGCCGGATGTACCTTGAGACTGTATGTCTCGTTCACCCTCCCATCACCAAACATAGGGCCTGACACACAGTATGGTTAGCTGCCATTCACTCGGCCCTCGACTCACAGCAGTGCCACGAACAACAGGACAAAACGCCAGCTGGTCCCGCACCGTCCCCATGACCGCTCGCAGACCAGACCATTGTGATCCATATGGTTTTCATCTGCTGATATTCAGAAGTCAAATGCCAGGCTTTCCTTCCCAGTCTATCTCAAACTAGAAGCGCCACTGAAACCTGTTCAGTATCCCAGCAACATGCAAGCTTCCGTTGCCAGGTGGCTGGGCGTGAGATGCACCAGCCAGGACTCGAACCTGGGCCTCTTACATGGAAGGTGAGAACTCTACCACTGAATGACTACTGCCGCTGGCATGTGAAAGATATGCAGTAAATATGTCCTGAGAAGAAGGGAAGGAAGGAATGCCACAAGGACCAAGCCAGGCACCAGGTCAGACCTCTGAGTTCAAACTCATTTCCAAAGCGAGTGAAGTCTGGGAGATAATGGCCAGGTGGAGACAGAACTGTAAGCCTCAGAGCCTCAACTTCCCAGTCAGAGAAATGGGGCACCAGCATCCACCTGAACAGACGAGGAATGAGACATGCACACAGGCAGGCACACACCTGTGACAGGTGTGTACACCGAAGGTCTCATCAGGTAACACAATGAAGAATGCTGCTGATACCAAACCTCACTCAGGTGCTGGACTCAGGCTGCTGCCTTGGTTTTTATTTTTGAAAACTCTTGAACTACTTCTCAAAGTAAAACCTATCATCTTGATGCCAGAAACAAAATGTTCTTTCTGCAGTACAACTAAGAGCCTGATCCATGTTTAAAATCAAGTTCTGGAACCAAAAGCAGGGACTCAACCTAATACCTGTGCACTCATGTTCACTGCAGCACTCTGCACCAGAGCCAAAAGGTGGAGTCTACTCAAACGTCCATCCACAGATGGAGAAACACAGTGTGGGCCATCCACAGATGAGGGGGAAACACAGTGTGGGCCATCCACACCATTAAGTATCACTCCACCATAAAGAGAAATGAGGTCCTGATCCATGCTACAACATGGAGGACCTTGAAAACATGAGGCTCAGTCAAGCAGCCAGACACAAAAGGACAAACAGTGTATAATCCCCTTGTAAGAAGTATCTAACTAGGCAAATTCATAGACAGAAAGTAGATTGTGGTCATCAGAGGCTGGGGGTGGGAGGGAATAGGGAGTTACTGCTTATTGGGTACAAGGTTTCTATTTGGAGGATGGAAGCATTTTGGGAACAGAGAGTGGTCATGGTCGCACAACATGGTATAAATGTAATCAATGCCATGGAATTGTACGCATAAAAATGGTTAGGATGGCCAATTTGATGTTGTGTCTATTTTGCAATAATTGAAAAATGTAGGTTTCTAAAATAAATAACGCTCTCATTTGGAAAAGGAGAGTGAGAATGGTTGTACAACTCGGAGACTGTCCTCAAGGTCACTGAGTTTACATGGAGAAACTGGATTCCCAACAACAGCAAAAACACTCACACACATATGTTTAAATTAAGTTCTGGGGCATCAGTGGGAGGGTCAGAGGGTTTCCTTAACCCCTCCCAGGCTGGTCCGTAAATGCAACAAGGTAGCAAGGATCCACACAGCAATGCAACTGCCTTGTACACAGGCCATCTGCCTTCCCAACAACGCCCACACGTAACCAACTTCCCCAAGCTCTCAGGTCCTTGAAATCCTACCATCCTTTTTGTTTACACTGCCAGACTTTCCTCAAACTCTCACCTGAATGGCATCCCTCCATCTGTGTACTCACCCGCTGCGCACATACATTGTGACAAAAATTGCACTAGGACCGCTGCAGACAGTTCATCTTTTTGACAGCCCTGCCAGGAGGGTGTTGTCAGGCCCCTTCTCACTGAGGGCAGCTGGGGCTCAGAGTGGTTGCAGGGTGGTTGCAGGGCTTAGTCAAGGTCATGGCTTGCAAGGCAGAGCCAGGGACCCCTCTTACCTCCCACCCTCACATACATCACACTGAAAAATCATTACACTTAGAACTGCATTCCATGGGGTTTTCAAGGCTGTGACTTTCAGTAGCATATTGATTACCAGGCCTTTCCTCCAAGGCACTTCTGGGTGGGCTCACACTGCCAACATTTTGGTTAGTAGGTGTATAGCCATTTGCACCACCCAGAGATCTTCCATCACATTCAACAATCGTTAATTGTCCAGCTTCCCTGCAGACTGTGGGCTAATTCCTGCCTTGGACTCCCAGCCCTACAAAACATAGGTGTGTGTGCATGTGTGGAACATTCCAGAGAAAGGAAGAACCAGTGGCCAGTGCCCAAGGTAGAAATAGCATAGCCTATGAAAAGAGTAGCTGAGAAGCTGGTGTGGCTGGAGGACACAGAGTGCAGTGACGTGAGAGAAGTCAGGGATGTTTGCAGGGGACACTCAGGTAGCACTGCTGACTGTGGCAAGCAGTCTGCTTTATTCTGGGACCTGGGGAGGCGCAGGAAGATTCTGAGCAGGGGTGTGGCGTGATGTTGGGCTGCTGTGACAGGCAGCCTGGGAAGCAGCTACAGGGGCCGAGAGCCACAGGGGTTTATGGGAGCAGAGCAGGTGGGCAGTGGCTGCAACAGTGGCAGGGGTTGGACAGTAGTCTTGCCCTTACCTTGCACACGTTATGCTGGCACACAGTGGTAACCGGGCGGAACACCACCTCCTGGCAACAAATGCACTGGAACGTCTCCTCCACTGTGCTCAGGAATTTCTGCAACAAGGGGAGAGGGGGTGTGAAGCCAGCAAACCCTCTGGTGGCCAAAATGAATAACCACCCTTAACAGGATCTTCTGGAAAGGATGGGCACTTAGCTAAGTGCCTGCTATGTGGTCCTAAAGTTTATTCTCATCACCCCCGGGGAGAGGAGTAATATTATGCTTATTTTAAGATGAGAAAATTAAGCTCCAGAGAGGGCCAGATCTTGACCAACATGGTGACGTCAGTAAGTGGGGTGGGAGGACAAGTCCCCAGGAAGAAGAGGGTCAAGGGGTGTGTGTGTGGCTTGACAGTTTTGAGCAGGACCCAGCCTGACAAAGCTGCCAGCAGCAAACGAACTTCAGGCTTCAGAGGCCAGATAGGGCTTTGTGGGAGCAGCTCTTAAGGCGGGCACCTCGATTTGTTAAATACACACGTGCTAAGCACCTACTGTATGCCACCGGGGCACTAGAGCTCCACAGCGAACACAACCCTCGCCTTCTGGGAGCCTGAAGCTCAGTCGAGGAAGCAGAAGATAAACAAATAGAAGACAAAATGAAAATACAACATATCAGACTTCACAGGATGCTGCCAAAGCAGTGCTCAGAGGCAAATCTATAGTACTGAATGCATGGTTAGAATATTCAAAATCAATAATCTAAGCTTCCACCTCGGAAAACTCAAAAAAGAAGAAGAAATTCAATCGAAATAATCAGAAGAAAAAAATAATAAAAATTAGAGCAGAAATAAATAAAATGAAAACAGGAAATAGAGGGAAAAAAATCAACAAAGCTTAATTTCTTTTAATTAAAAAAAAGTATATTAATAAAATTGATAAACCTCAAGCCAAGCTAACTAAAGAAACAAAAGAAGATATGAGTTATTAACATCAGAAAAGAAAGGCGAGCCAGCACTACCAATCCCACAGGCATCAAAAGGGCAACAGCAGAATATTATGAACAGCTCTAGGTCCACAAATCTGATAACTTAGCTGAAACACATCAATTCCTCAAAAGACAAAATCTACCAAAATTCACACAAAAAGAAACAGATTCTCAATAGGCCTATTAGCTATTCTAAAATTGAATCAATAATTATTAATTTTCCAAACAGAAAGCACCAGGCCCTGTTAGTTTTAACAGTGAATTCTACCAAACATTTAAAGGATACCAATTTCCTACAACCTGTTCCAGAAAACAGAAGCCAACTTCCTAACTTATTCTATGAGGCCAGCATTACTCTAATACCAGGAAGGAAAACCAGACCAATTATCTCTCATAAATACAGATGCAAAAATCCTCAAGTAAAAATGTCACAGTTGGTGGTAAGCATGGCGGGGAAAATGAGGTAGGGAGGCCAGAGACGGGTGCGTACGAGGGCTGCTCTGGAAGGCAGAGGCTCAGAGGAAGCTCCACAGAGAAAGTGACCTACGAACAGACACATGGCCGGCTGAATGAAGCCACTCCCACCTTCATACCCCAGCAAGATGACCACATCTTCATGCCCAGAACCTGTGCACACGTTACTCTGCATGTCAAAAGACTCTGCAGATGGCAGTAAGAATCCTGCCATGGGAAGATTATTACTGCCTGAATTATATTCCCTCCAAACGTGTTGGAATCCTAACCCCTCTACCTGGGATTATAATCCCATTTGGGAATGGATTTTCTTTGTTATGTTAATAAGGCAGGAGTAGTGTAGAGTGTATCTTAAATCAGTCTCTTGAGATACAGAAGAGATTCAACAAGCAAATGAGCAAGCGGAGATGGGGAAGACAGACACCATGGCAGATAAGATCTCCAAGAAACTAAGAAACAAGCTCAAGAAAGAGCAGAGACAGAAAGCCTTCACCTAGGGTTGGTGCCTCTAGCCTTGTAACTGTGAGAAAATAAATTTGTTTGTCAAAGCCACCCCCTTGTGGTACTTGTGTTATACCAGCACTAGAGGCTAAGAGATGCTCCTGGATTATCCAGGTGAACTCAGTGTAATCACAAGGGTCATTTTAAGAGGAGGGAAGAGAGTGGCAGGCAGCGATGTGACCATGGAGAACTGTGGTCTGTAAAACTGTTAATGGCTGCTTTCTCAGAAGTAGATCACCATGCCTTTCCTCCAAGGAGCCTCTGGGGGAGTTCAAATGGGCAACTTTTCAGTTCTCAGCGAGCATGTTAGCCATCTGTGCCACTCCAGAGCTCCCAAGATGTACAATGGAAGCAAGTACTAGAGTAATGCAGCCAGGAGCCAAGGTATGTGGGTGGCTGCTAGAAGTTACAAAAAGCAAGGAACCATTCTCCCTTGGAACCTCCAGAAGGAACACAGCTCTGCCAACCCCTTGATTTTAGCTCCTGAAGGCCCACTTTAGAAGCCCAGGTGGTGCAGTGGTTAAGTACTCAGCTGCCAACCAAAAGGTCAGCAACTCAAACCCGTCCAGCAGCTCTGAGGAAGAAAGACTTGGCAATCGGTTCCCATAGAAATCACAGCTTAGAAAACCCTATGGGGCAGTTCTACTCTCACATGGTCACAGTGAGTTGCAATCATCTTGACGGAAGCAAGACTCATTTTGGACTTCTGACCTCTAGAATTGTGTGAGAACACGTAAACTGTTTAAACGTTTGAGGTGGTTTTACTCCAGTGGCCATAAGAGACTCACAGGAGACAAGAGATTGAGCGGGCGGGTTTGAGGGAAGGTGCGCAGGCGGAGGGACGGCGAGGGGCAGAGGCCTGAGAGGGCTAGCTGGGGGAATAGGTGGCAGGAGAGAATGTCAGAAGAACGGGGGCAGGGACCCAGCTGATGGGCTACAGGAGGAATCTGAGGTGACAGTGACCCTCGAGAGCCAGTTTTCACCTGGTGGGGACAGCTGCCAAAGGGCAACAGGTCACTAAGGGGCAGTGAGCCACCCACGTCACTCACTGGGCTGGGCAGGAGGAGCAAACAGATGCCTTGCCCGCCCCCACTCACCGGCCCGTCCTTCAGCGACTTGAGGATCTCAGCCCACAGCTTGGCGTTGCTCTTGTCTTCCTTGATGAGGCTGTTCTGCTGGGCAGTGAGGCTGTAGGGCTCTACCTTAGTCTTCTTGGGTGCCCCACGCAGGGTCCCAGGGCTGGCCTCGCTGCCTCCTGGGACCAGGCAGAGCAGGTGTGAGCCGTGCTGGCTGAGCCTGGGGTGGACGGATCCGCCCCTCACCTAGACACCTACCTGCCGACTTCCGCTTCCATTTGCCCTTGCCCTTCCTGGAGGACCTGAAGCCCTGCTGCTCCTCCTCCTTGTCCTTGTGCTCCTCCTCGTCCTCCCTCTTGCTGTTCTCCTTCTCCTTCTCCTTGTTGGCCAGGGCCTCCAAATAGCCTTCCGGATACTGCAGGGGGAGAAACTGTGTGAGGGGCTGGAATTGCGTGAGTGTCCCTCGGGGCCCAGATGCAATGCAGCTGGCAGGAGCCCGTAAGACCCCCATCCCACCCCGGCCTTCCTGCTGTCCACTCCTCTCCTGCTTGCCCCTGTCCCTGCCTTGCACAATTAGAACCTTTCCCCACCTGATCCAAGAGCACATCGTGGACCCAGCACTTAGCCACGAAGATGCCTCCACCAGGGACCCGCGGAGCCTGGGGCAACACCACATCCTGTCCGATAACCACGACGTACCACGACACACCAGTTAAACTCTCAGCTGCTAACTGAAGCGTTGGCAATTCAAATCTACCCACGGCTCCATAAAGATTCCAGCCCAAGAAACCCTACAGGGCAGCTCTACTCTGTCCCATGAGGTTATGATGAGTCAGAATCAACTCAATGGCAGCCATCAACACAATAAGAACTAATGGAAAGGCTGGCAGTTCAAATCCACCTACTGACACTGCTGAAAAAAGGCCTGGCAACGTTCTTCCAAAAACTTAGCCAGTGGAAACCCGGTAGAGCAGGTCTGCCCTGACACACATGGGGCTACCGTGGGTCGGAACCCACTTCACAGCAGGGTGATTGTTTCAGTCAGTGATGCCCTACCGGCAGCATTCGATTGCCGCCTCAGCCCCAAGCGGCCTCTGATCATGCGCGACTCTCGCGTTTCCCTGAGAAATCGTCCACCTTCTTTGGTGACATGAAGTTGCAGCGAAGACTAAAGACAGAAATCCAAACCCTGCTCCTGCCAGAAGCTGGTGCTGCCTCCCGTCATGGCTTTTCTTCCTCAGTTCTCAGCTTCTGGAATTCCCTGTTGTACTAGCATTATGTTCAAAGATATCCCTGTGTGATCCCGACAGGGGAGGCGCTGTCAGGCTCCCAACGGTAATTAAGACTCCTTAAATAGTCCCAGGCCGATGCACGTGCTGTACAGCAACTCACCCCGACGAACAGAAAACACAGAATTACAGCACAGAGAAGCTGTCCTGCCGACTGGAGAAGCTCCCGGGGCTATGGAGAGGTGAAGGGCGGCTTAGGGACCGTTCATCCTCACCTCCCATCTCCACCTTTCGGTACAGTCTACTGGTTTTGTTGGTAGAATTTTTCTGTACCAGTTTTATTGGTTAAGGGGGAGGGGGAAAGGAGCAGAGGAGAAAGAGGTGAGCAGGTGCAGAGAAAAGACCAGAACCCTGACTAATTTGGGTAAACTCGTCTATGGCTGTTAATGCTGTTGTTGGCTGCCGCCGAGTCAGCCCCAGTCATGAAACGCTGCCTGGTCCTGCGCCGACTGCTCGAGGACTGGACTGCTGGGCTCCATGCGCCTTCACTGGCTGGTTTTTGGAAGCAGATCTCCAGGCTTTCCTCCCTAGTCTGTCTTAGTCTGAAACTCTGCGGAGACCCGTCCGGCACCATGGCAACACGCGGCACCCCCGACAGATGGCGGCGGTGCTGCATACAGGGTGCACTGGCCGAGACTCAACTCTACCACTAAGCCACCACCGTCCCCCAACTCCTCTACTAATCCTACCATTACAGGCAAGTCTAGGAAGGCAAAGACCTAAGTGTTAGTTGTCCCAACCGGCACCCACCCTGGGTAAAGCATTTACATAACACAGCAAGCGAGGTGTGATCAGATTGGAGCCAGATGAGACTTCACACCACAGAAGGGCTACGTCGGCTTAGAGTTTACCAAGCACCGGGCACTGTGACACCGGCGGCAGCCTCGCAGGCCCAAAGCTGGCCATACGGCAGCCCAGGGTCCCCAGACCCCGAGTGCAGAACGTCCCCGGCCAGGTGGGACACACCTGCATGGTCAGCCCCAACCTCCTGATGCGGTCCTTCCCTTCCTTTGTCCAGGGCCCAGGCTCCTCGTCGTCTCTCCGGAGCAGATAGCGCCACACGAGGAAGCCAGACTTCCCCTTCTCGGGCCAGTACCGCACGACCTGTGGGGCGTGGGGGCGATGTGAGTGACCTCCAAGTCAGAGCTGGCCGCGGGGGCTCGGCCAGGCAGTGGCTCACCTTGTAGATGCCGTCGTAGCGGTTGCCCTCGGCGGGCGCGTATTTGCTGTGCTTGCCACCCTTGACGTTGCGCACCACCCGGACGGGTTTCCCCGCCCGCCAGTCCTTGGCCTCGGCCCCGTCCCGGTCGTTGATAGGTGCGCTGCAGTTCAGAGCCAGCGCCCTGCAGAGAGAGGGGGGCCCGCGGGAGAGGGTAAGCAAGTTCCCCACTAAGGTGAACATGCCCTTAAGTGCAAGGCTGCCAGCTGAGAGGCTGAGCATTCAAATCTAGCCAGCAGCTCTCATAGAGAAAGGCCTGGTGATCTGCTCCCATGAAGATGACAGCCCAAGAAACCCTGAGGCAGTTCTACCCGGTCACTTGCGGTTGCTGTGAATCCGAACCAACTTGATGGCACCTAACAACAAGAAGTCCCCACCCTGACCGCCATGCCTGGGAACATGGCCTCATTTGGCAATAGGGTCTTTCTTTGCAGATGTAATCAGCTGCGCTGATGTCATATCAGGGTGGGGGGACACTAAATCCAATGACTGGTATCTTTGTAAGAGACAGACACAAAGCGAAGACAGACGTGACAACAAAGACAGAGACAGGGGGATGTAGCTACAAAACATGGAGTGCCAAAGATTGCCAGGAGCCACCAGAAACTTGGAAGATACAAGGAAGGGTCCTCCCTGGAGCCTTCACCGAGATCCTGGCCCTGCCAACACCTTGCTTTCAGACTTCCAGCCTCCAGAGCTGTGAGACAGTCAATTCCTACTGTTTTAAGCCATCCTGCTTATGGCAACCCCAGGACACCAGACACTGCATGAAGAAGGTGCTATCAAGAAAAACAAGGTGACACAGGGCAGAGCCAGCAGGTCTAATCTCCACAGGCCTCCCCAGGAAAGACAGCCCAGCACACGGGCTTAGACTCTCACACCAGAGACTCACAGCTGACACAGTGATGCTGACTTCATGGGGGTGGAAGAGAGAACAGAGACAACATGGCTGTTTACTGACAAATATTTTGCTGCTTTAGAACTGTAGGGAGCTCTGGTAGTGTGGTGCCTAAGGCACTTGACTGTTAACCAGAAGGTTGGCGGTTCAAACCCACCAGCCACTCCTCAGAAGAAAGGTCGGGCAATCTACTTCTATAGTGATACTGCCTCAGAAACCCCAGGGGGGTCACTGTGAGTCGGCTCTGACTCGACGGCAGTGAGTTGAGTAGATAACTGTAGATAAATGTTAGGTGCTAAGAGTGATTTTTGACTCGCAGTGACCCTGTGACAGAGGAGAACCGCCCCATCGGGTCTTTGAGGCTGTCATCTTTATGGAAGCAGGTCACCAGATCTTTCTCCTGTGGAGGCCCTGGGTAGGTTTGAACCACCAACCTTTTGGTTAGCAGCCAAGTACTTAACTATTGCTCCACTAGGGCTCCACATGATCAACATTAACTGAAACTCTGTAGGACAGAGCAGAACTGCCCCATAAGATTTCCAAGGCTGTAAAACCTTTATTTTATTTTATTTTATTTATTTATCAACAAATAGTTGATGTGTTCATCTGGAGAGACTCTCCTGGCTATGGATTAGAGTTGGCTGTAATCTTTAATGGAAACAGATCACCAGGCCTGGCCATCCTGTGGTACCACTGTGTAGGTTTGAACCACCAACCTTTCAGTTACCAGCCAAGCATAGATCATCTGAGCCACCCAGGGACCTTAAAAGGCTGTCAATCTTTATGGAAGCAAACTGCCACATCTTTCTCCTACAGAGCAAGAGCAGCTGGTGGTTTGAACCTCTGACCTTTCAATTAGCATCCAACCACTTAACCACACCACCAGGACTCCTTTTCTGTGAAGATCACAGACCAGAAAACCTCCTGGGGCAATTCTACTCTCTCATATGGGCTCATGATGAGTCAAAATCGTCATTGGCATCAGGTTTGTTTAGTTTTTTGGTTGCATTTTTCTATTGAGAGTCTTTTTAATTGATTTGCAATAGCTCTTTGTAAAATAAAAACATCAAGTATATTTATCACCAACTTTTCTCCCACAGTCATCTGCCTTTTAATTCTATTTATTAGATTTATTGATATGATTTAAAACATCTGTCTGACAGATCACTCCATCTTTTCCTGTATGTTAACTTTTCACGGTTAACAAGTCCTCCTCCATGGTGCAATTGGGAGTGAGCAATCTCTGGGCCTGACTGGTTTTGTAAATAAAGTTTTATTGGCACACAGCCACATCTACTCATTTCTGTACGGTCTGTGGCTGCTTTTGTGCTACGATGACTCAGTTAAGTTCTTTTAACAGACTGTGTGGCCTACAAGGCCAAAAATCTTTACTCTGTGTCCTTTTAAAACAAAGTGTGCTATGGTCCAGCACATGAGTCTTTAGTGAATGGGAAAGGGAAGAAGAACGGGCCCATCACTGTGACTCACCACACTCGTAACAAGGATTTAACTTCATGGAGATGGCACCCGAAAACCACCTGTGTAGCCCCAGAGCCCTCAGCAGAAGCCCGACAGCAAAGAAGCGAGAGTGCTGTGTCCCACGAACCTGTTGGTGTTGGTGAGTTTCTGATCACAAGACTGTTCTGCGGTCCGTTTGTTGCCAGAAAGATCTCGACCGCCACTCCCTGTGTATGTGAAGAAGTTCCCATGGTCCTGAAACAGATGAGATGGGGGGTGGGGAGGTGTGAACCCTCTGCATGCGCTCCATCTGAAAACAGAGCCCCTGCCCGGCTCTGCGCCACCCCCACACACGTACTCACCACGTCATCCTCGTAACCCCCCGCCAGGACCAAGGAGTAGGCCCCGTCATTGCTCCGGCCGTGGATGCCTGCCACGTGGGGCCGATGGACTCCCGACTCACTGACCTGCGGAATCAGTGGGATAACAGCAACTTTCGGAGTAACTGGCGCAGACATGATCCACTCTAGCCCGCCCCCCAAACTTCGGAACCCGCAGTTTGACTTTCACACCAAATGTGTGGCACGCCCCAGTCACTGCCTTGCGCCTGCTAGTAGAAGCCCCTCCAAGGTGGCCCAGGCCCGAGGTGCACCCTGGAAGAAGCAGGCTTCTGCATGGGTACCTGGACTCGGAATCGCCACATGGTGCCCACAGGAATGCCCGGGATCGGCCCGTAGTGGTTGGATGGGACGATAGTGCACTCCTTCGTACGGCCCACACATGCCATGCCCTGTCATTCCAGAAACAGAAACGGAGAGCAGCGTGAGGCCCCAGGGAAGGAGAGGGCTGGCCGGTGGGCCTCACACAAGCAGGGCCCCCTGACCTTGCCCTAGTCCCGCTGGGAGGACGAGGTGGCCCCCTGACCTCCCCCAGTCCCGCTGGGAGGACGAGGTGGCCCCCCTGACCTTGCCCCAGTCCCGCTGGGAGGACGAGGTGGCTGACGCCATCCTCGCTTTCTTCTTGCTCTCTTTCAGCTTCTCTCCTGCCGACACCACCTCGCTGGCATCATTCCGACACTCGGGACAGTACCTGGAACCACAGAGATGTCACTGCCTGCACAGAGCCTTGGGAGCCCCTGCCTCTCCCCACTGACTCACGCCACACACGCAGGTGCAGTGCGTCCTTTTGTACCAAGATCGTCCTGTGCAGACCTAAACACGGCCACTTGCCCCAGGTGGCTATTTAAATTTATTAATATCACACAAGACAGAAAGTCCAATTCTCAGCTGGACCAGCCACACTGGAAGGGCTCAGTAACCACATGCAGCCAGGGACCACCATCATCAGATAGTACAGTTCTAGAACATTCCATCATGGCAGAACAATCTACTGGAGAACAGATCTTGCCCTCTCCTGCTTATACTCAACAGTTCTCCTAACAGTGAGCATAAATCCAACTGCAGTGTAGCAACAGAAAGGCAGGGAGACTTTGGGGAGTACCTTCTCATCTCATGGGCTCAGTCTCACAACGAGGAGGGGTAACAAAGTCGGGACGAGGAACAAGCCAGGAACCCACACAGGATCTGTAGTCCACGAGGCCTTTCCTAAACCTTCTGGGCCCGTGAGCAGCCTCCGTTACAAGCATCCACGTGTACTGGCTAAGAGCCCTGCCTTTTGGAGAAGGTGCAGGCCCAGGTCTCGGTAGCCAACCTGCCAGGGCTCCACTTCCTCCAGGGGTGACTGAGCCCCTGCCTGGCAGTGACCCTGAGCCCCATGCAGAGAACCCAGAAGGCTCTCCTACCTGGTCTTTCGTCACTGTCCCTCCCGGGTCTACTCCATATTCAGAAGCTTGGTGGGCCTCACCCAGGGTGATCCTGCCCCCAGGGACACTGGATGGTGTCTGAGGACATTTGTGGATGTCACAACTGGGGGGGGGAGGCCCTACCGGCATCGAGTGGGTGATGGTCAGGAAGCTCAACACCCTCAGTACACAGGATGGCCCCACCCCAAAGAAGGACCCGGCCCCCGTGTGAGCAATGCCAAGGGGAGAAAGAGCTTGTGTTATTCAGGGAAAAAGACAAGCTCCATCCCTAGCTCCCAGCATCCACCAGAATCAGCCCTGCTGGTCGTACGCTGTAGACCAGGGGCCCCTCCAGCTCCTGTGATGCCTCTCCTCTCTCCTCCCCACTCAGTGTGTGGATTAAACGTAGGCAGTGTCCCAGGACGTCAGATGATTATGGGATGCAGAGTCTCTTGGGGACAGGGGGATGCCCCGACCCAGGGGCTCTCACCCAGGGATGATTCTGCCCCGTGGGGACACTGGGTGATGTTTGAGGACATTTGTCATTGTCACAAATGGGGGTGGGGGAGTGGCTGCTGGCATCGAGTGGGAGGCCAGGGATGGTGCTCGGCACGTACCCTCCACCCACCCGTGGTGCTCACCACTCGTTCTCATCAGGGATGCCGCTGAGCGGCGGGCACAGGCAGTAGATGTGGAAGGCCATGTCGCACTCGTCACACAGGAGCTGCTTGCCAGGGTCCTGCTTGCCCCCACACAGGTGGCAGGCGCACACACGGCAGGTCTTGTTCTCGTCATCCTTGCAGTGCTTGCAGGAGGGCCCGCTCTTCCCTGCACACCCAAGCAGCAGGGCCGGGTCAGTGGGGCCCAGAGGGACAGAGGTCCCCCCGCCCCAACCGCCACCCACACCCCTCCAGGGCCAGGGCTCACGTCGCATCGGGTTTTCCACCACTGGGCTCCCTTCGCCCGGGCGTTCGATCTTGAAGACTTCGTCCACGAAGATGATGCGACAGTCGTTAATGGAATCGTCCCTGTGTGGGATGAGCCTTTAGAATGTTGCAGCTGCCCGACCCCACTGGGGCCACATACAGCACTCTGCTAGCTACCATTCCTGAGCACTCTCACAGCATCGGTCCTGCTTAGAAGGTTCAGAGTGGCGCAGACTGTTTGCACTTGACCACAAACCAAAAGGTTAGAGGTTCAAAGCCACCCAACACAGCCATGGAAGAAGGGCCTGGCAATCCACTTGCCTAAAGATTCCAACCACGAACACCCTACGTGGCGGTTCTACTCTGCAACACACGGTGTTGCCATGAGTCAGGGTTGACTCCATGGCAACAGGTTTGAGTTTTTTTTGGCTCTAATTAGATCCGGTGAGAGGCTCTGTGGAAAGAAACAGCATTACAGCATTCAAATCATACTATGGGGCCTTGTATTGGTCCTGGTTCTTAGAGTAGGTGGTAGGTTCACTAGAGTCAGTTTATTGTAATGCTTGATAGAGAATCTGGTGGCATGGTGCCTAAGGCATTTGACTGCTAACCAGAAGGCTGGCAGTTCAAACCCACCAGCCACTCCAAGGAAGGAAGACTGGGCAATCTACTTCCGTAAAGATTTACCACCTGGGAAACCCAAAGTGGGTCGCTATGAGTGGGAACTGACTCAATGGCAGTGAGTTTGGTTTTTGGTGACAGAGAACCTAGACACACGTATGTAGACATTTTCAGCAGGGGCAGTGGTAGAGTTCCTGCCTCTCATGCAGGAGAGCCAGGTCAATTCTGGGCCCGAGCACTTCACTCACAGCCATCCCTCGTCTGTCCATGGGGGCTCCTGTGCTGCTTGGACGCTGGGCAGGCTTCACGGAGCTTCCAGACTAAGAGGGACTAGGAAGGAAGGCTGGACACTGACTTCTAAACTCAGCCACGAGAACCCCCTGATCTCCACAGTCTAATCCTAATCCCACTGTTCACGGCCACGAGTCAGAGCTAACTCGACAGCAGCTACCAACAACATACTGCTTTGTGATATTTAAAATTATTCAAAATTAAACTTTACTAGTTAAAAGCTTAAATGTGAAAAAATTAAGTCAACAAATGGACTCCTGTACCCAGCAAGGCTGTCCTTGAGAAAGGAATGGAAAAAAAATGTTCCCAGGCAAAGGAAACTAAGAGGGTTTGCTGACAGTAAGCCTTAAGAGAACACCGACAGGAAGTTCTTCAAACAGAAAATTGTAAGAGAAAGGAAGAGACATCCACAGAAGGAGCAGAAATATGGCTACATGCAACAAGCTACCCTCTTCTACATCATATGCAATGACTGAAATAAAAATCATCACACCATCAGATACTCCAGACAGTAAGTGGAGAAAGGAAAAGAACCCAAAAGGCAGGCAGGTGCCTGCGTCTCACTGATACCAGCACACGACAAGCGTACACTGTGGCATCCAGGGAAACCACTAGGAAAGCGACAAAGCGATACGCAAAACCAGTACTGAAACCTAACAAATACTCCAGCAACTCACAGGAAGACAAGAAAGAGAACGGAAGAACGAGAACTGGAACACAAGTCGACTTCAATGTGAACACAATGATGATCACCTTAAACATAAACGGCCTAAGAGCACCAACTTTAAAAGGCAGAGACCGAAAGAATAGATTAAAAACAAAACAACAGCTCAACTGTGAGACATTCAATTCACTTAAAAATCAACAATATAGATTGGAAGTAAAAGAATTGAAAAAGATAGTCCATGCAAACATTAATTACAAAAAAGAAACAAAAAAAACCTAGAATGACACATACACGTGTGCGTGTGCGCGCGCACACACACGTACATGTATCTATGCATATATAAGGGAGTTCCGGGGTGGTACAAATGGTTCATGTACCCGAGTACAAGCCAAGAGACTGGTGGTTGGAGTCCACCCAGATGGGCCTTGGAAGAGAGACCTGGCGATCTCTTTCTGAAAATAAATAACCCAGTTAAAGAGCAGGCCAAAGACAAACGAGACACAGGCATATGAGGTGAACATTTACACTAGGTAGATACACTCCTTGGAGAGAACAATCATGGGAGAATAGAAGCGCTGTGTATGCACAGGGAGAGAGCTCGGGGGCAGGAGTGCATGGAGGGAAGGACACAGGGAGGAGGTAATTATGGGGAGGAAGTGGGAGGGCAGCTGTTGCATTGTGGGAAATTGCACTCAATGTCATGAGACAAAGTGTATGTGAGATGCTGTATGTAAAGTGACTTTACTCTCTAAATTTTCACCCAAATCACAATTAAAAAAAAAAAAAAAGCTGAACAGACACCTCACCGAAGATTTAGATAGTAAATCGGCAAATGAAAAGAGGCCCAACATCACGTCGCTGTTGTTATGTGCCATCGAGTCGGACCCAACTCATAGCGACCCCTCCTTGGGTTTCCGAGGCAGTATCACTACAGAAGTAGATTGCCCAACCTTCCTTCCGAGGAGTGGCTGGTGGGTTTGAACCGTGAGCCTTCTGGTTAGCAGTCAAGTGCCTTAGGCACTATGCTACCAGAATTTCCCCCATCACGTCATTAGGAATCGCAAATTCAAACAATGAGAGACCACTTCACACCCATCACTTCGACTAAAATTCTAAACACTGACACCAAATGCCAGCAAGGATGCAGAGAAATGGACTGTCAGCCAGTGCTGGTGTGGGCTGTAAAACCGCTCAGCCACTCTGGACAGCAAATGCCAACCACACAACCCAGCAAGTGTACTCCTGGGGCCCAGAGAAATAGAACTTAGGTTCACACAAAATCCTGTACATAAATGTTTCTAGCAGCTTTATTCATAATAGCCCCAAACCACAACCAGCACGGATGTCCCTCATCAGGCAGAGGTTAAATAAAGCAGAGCTCCCCCCATCACGGGATGTTACGTCATTGTCATCAAGTCGGTGCCTGACTCATGGCGACCCCCTGGACCATAGTAGGACAGTTAAGACCCACAGGGTTTTCATGGGCTGATCTCCGGACACCAGCAGCCCCTTCTTTCCAGTCTGTCTTCAGTCTAGAAGCTCCAGTGAAACCTTTTTAACATCCAGCAGCACCTCCCCTGACGGGCGGGTGGGGCCGCACTTGAAGTGCACCCACTGGGGATCGAACCGGGGTCTTCCACAGAGAAGGTGAAGTGAGGGTTCTACCGCTGTCCTCTACAATGGAACACTAGTCAGCGTTAAGAAGGAATGAGCTCTCAATACATGCAACAGCCTGGATGAATCTCCGGGGAATTATGCGAAATTAAATAAGCCACCTCCAGAAGAGTACATGCTGTCTGGGTTCATTTAACTAATGTTCCTGAGATGACAAAATCAAAGACGGAGGAAAGATTCGTGGTGGCCTGGGGTCGGCAGCGCAGGGGTGGCCACATTCTGAGCTTTTTGCTGTATCTGGCTCAGTGCTCTGGTTGTGAAGCTGACTACAGTTTCGTAAGAGGCTCGCATCGGGGGAAGCTGGATAAATGGCACCGGAGGGCTCTGCATAATGAACCCCAAATAAACTGTAACTAAAGTTAATGGCCACCACTCCCATCACTGTGTCATACTGTGGCTGCTTGTGTGTGGCTGCGCCACCAGGATTTCAAACACCTGCAGGGTCACCCACACTGGCCAGGTTTCAGCAGAGCCTCTAGACTGAGATAGACCAGGAAGAAAGGCCTGGTGACTGACTTCCAAAAATCAGCCAATGAGAACAGAACACTGTGATCCGGTGCTGGATGCTGAGCCCCAGACTGGAAGGCACTCTCCATACACAGTGGCTGCAGCCATGGACTGGAGCAGACTGACAGCCACGAAGATGGGGCAGGGCTGGCCACCATTCACTCTGTTGTACACAGGGTTGCCGTGAGTAGGAGCCAACGACAACGACAAAGTTAATGTGTCAATGAGTCTAACGCTGTGACCTGCGGGCTCCTGCAGCCACAGGCCGGCTCCCCTAATGGTGCACAAAGTGGAAACGGTGCAGGGCCACCTCTGAGCCTCGCAGCCTGGCAGGTCTCTCGCCACTACAGCAGGCGCTCCTGGTGTCTCTCTCCGAGAAGAGTCCCACTCGCAGCCCTGTCTGCTGCCCTGGGAGAGGGACCACAGCCGAGTCTCCCCCATCACGGCCTCATGTGCAATGTGCGACTCGGCCAGTAACAGAGGGTGCTGGTGGGCGACGGGAACTGAGCACCAGCCCGCTGTGGCAGGTAGCTCGGCCCAGTGCTCTCCTGACGCCACCACAGTGGAGACACACAAGCCCAGAGCTCAGGGACATCAGTCCTCACACACACACAGCGGGGAGTCCCCGGGCAGTGCAGACGCGGAACACGCTCAGCTGCTGACAGAGAGGCGGGTGGCCTGAGCTCACCCAGGGGCACCCCGGAAGAAAGGCCTGGTGATCAACGTCCATAAACCAGCTGACAAGAACCCTGTGGACGCCCAGGAATAAAGCTCAAACGGCAGAAATGGAAACGGGGAACCCAAGGAAGAAGTGGGGAGAGTGCTATCACACTCGTGACACCAATCAATGTCACGAGTTGAATCAAAATGTGTACGAGTGGTTGAATGGAAAACCCATTTACTATGTAAACTTTTATCCAAATCGCAATTAAAAAAAAAAAAAAAAAAAACCACGAAGTGCAGTTGTACCTTGACACACAGGACCACCAGGAGTCGGGGCTCACTGGGAGCAGTGTGTGATCAGCTGCTAACCCAAAGGCTGCCAATTCAAACCTACCCAGCAGCAACACGGAAGAATGGCCTGGTGATCTTCCAAGAGCTCAGCCACAAAAACCCCATGGAGTAGAGTGCTGCATGAGAAGCCGCCCGAGCTGGGGGCACTGGCTGGTTACAGAGTGGCGGCTGCACTCCTCAGTGGGGGAGCCCAGCACCCGCACGCAGAGGTTCACGTTAAAAACCTGCATGAGTCACCCATCTTTAAAGTCTGGTTTCATAGGATAACTCAGATTGCCTGCTTCTCCGGAAAACTGAAGGCTGAGTCCGCCAGGAAGTTGGACCCAGT